GACCTCCCCCCAGCCTCACTCCGTGCCGTACTTTGAATGCATTCGGAACAGTAAATTGAATATGGACAGTTTGACAGCAAACATTAGCAGCTGAATAGCCAAACACTAGCATCCCAGTGTTGTTGGCGGGGGTCTTTCATCCCCGTTTTGTTGTGTTGTTTGGCGGCCGGGGGAAGAGCCGAGTGAGCGCCTTTGAAGGCGCGGTACTCGGCCCACATGACATCTGTGGCCCCTGACCCTCAACATAATCGCTGTATGGGATTGCCCCCTCAGTGCCCACTGTGTATACATGCTAGTTCAAATGCCAGCATCAGTTTTCGTTTTTTTTTTTTTTTTTTTTTCGCTCAATGGGTTCATTTACATGGAAAAAAGGGTCCTCCCTTCGCCCGGGGTTGGTTTGAACGAGCTGACTTGAATCGCTGCCCCGCAGTCCCCTTGCGCGCTCATGTATGTGAATGGAGCCACTTGTTGTTGGAAACCTCACTTCCTGCTTCGTTTGTCACTCACAGGATGGGTTAGCGTGACCTTCAGTTTTTTTTTTTTTCTTTCATGAGCTGTCGGTAGCTGGTTTGCAAAGCCGGGGGCTCGCTCGCTATGTTACGCAGGTCAGGTAAAGTGGCTCTTGAAGGTTGTGATGGACAGATTATAAATACACTGACAGGTTCGCATTTATCTCCTCGTCTTTGGTAATTGTCAGCTGGCTCCAGGAGCTTTAGTCATCCTCTCATCCCCCCCGGAGTGACAGGACCCTCCCCGAGTCCGGCAAACACTCACTGTTATCGGTCAAAATGTTGGCTGGTGAACTTTTGTCTGCATACTGCAGCCCTAAGTGTTCTTCTGGAGTGTCCCTTCTGAAGCTTGCGTTTCCTGTCGCGCGGGGTTTCATCAACGGTGGACCCCACAGCGTACGTACGTGATATAAATCAAAAGGTTTTTGCACATATTCCAGTGTAATAGGTCTCTTAGAATCTGATTTTTCCAAATTTTATGCATCTGGAGCCTGGGTTCAGTGCCGTTGGCCATTTACCGCACGGTTAATTCAGCGTTAGCATCTACTCCATGCTCTTGCGAGTGTTTTCATTTTGCATTGGTGTGTTTTGATATTTGGTCCTGTTCAGTAAACATTCTTTTCTTGAACTATATGATTATATTACCATTAATATCCTTTTTAAGATGGTCACTTGGATTACTCGCAACTAACTTTGTGTCTAAAATAAAAAGCCAACATCAGCGAAAGGAAGATGACATCAACTGTGGCCCGCCGCAGTTTGTCTTCTTAATGAGCCAGCCGATCCATTGGGCCCGGCGGTTCCCCACAGAACCGAGAATAACAACAAGAGTCCTGCACAGCGTGTGTCCTTTCATAAATGTTGTCATTTGCTTGGCTTCAGCTGACCCGCAGTCTTCCACTCCGGTGCCCGCTTGGCTTCTTCACCAAACTTCATCCCAACACAAGTTCAAGAATCCGATATGCAAACGCTTGAAATGGATTATTCGCTTTGCGCGGGCGCGGATCAGTCGTTCGTGGCAAATGATCTCACCGCCGTTCTCCCCTGCCCCCCCCTCCACATCAAAGCCTTGCTCTTTGACTCCGCCTCAGTTCCGAGTCAAGAGTATCAATGCCGAGAGGCCGACAATGGCAAACACACACCTCATTGTTGAACTAATTAACATTCTTTTACAACGGCCCGCTGAGAGTCAAAGCACTCCCGTCCCAGGGTGCCAATTAAGTGGACAGTGTACCTTACACTGAACGTAGGTAGGTTGCTTTTGCGTCCACACAAAGGCCGGATACTCTGCTTACCATCCATTGACAGGAAAACGGTGCAGACGGAGTATGATTAAGTGCAATTGCGGTGTCTCGGCCAAAGAAAGGGCAGTCAATTGTCCGCAGCTTAAGTGGGCTTTTAAAAAAAAAAAAAAAAGGTAAACGACTCAACCTTTGTCCCCCTTTGTGCACTTACAGTAGTGCTTTGGAGAGACATGGCGAAAAGAGCTCGGCGGTGGTCCGCTAAAGAATGTGTTTGGGGAAGCAGACCGAATACTTCTGATGAATGTGGATGACAAAAGTTGGCGAGGGGCCCGTGCCGTTTCTTTCTTTCGTGTCATTTCCAACTTGGGAGTCATGTGACATTTCAGAAACTCATTCCCGCTGACACGGACTATCGTTACAGTCACGGCACAAGAATGCGGAATTGTGGAAGGTGCGAGACTGAGGGCCAGATGGAAAACAAAATACATTACGAGATTAAAGTCAACATTTTCACAAGAATAAAAAAATAAATAAAAATTTGGATGTATGTACTGTAAATAGGGACCAGGCCAGCCCACGAATAGCGAAAATCTGTGCATAAATTATGCCCATTGAAATGTATTGGGGGGCGGGGAAAATGCATTATTTGTATATATCTACATATCTCTCAAAAAATTCATATCGTCTGGGTCCTGAAAATAATATACTGCATACTTTGACTGTATGCTGTACAGACTGTACATATTGTATTGTTTGTGCGTGCTCGCATGTGCCTTTAAGAGGCGTGGCCTGGAGGGGAGGGGTATGCTTCCGGCGAGTCTGCGTGAGTGTCCAAGTGGGTGAGAAACAGTCGCTCACCTGTCGCCCCGCCTCACTTCTGACTGTCACCCAGGCCACCACCCTGTCAGTGTCTGTCAATCAAGACACCGCCAGCTATTCCTCCACAGGCCTCCGTCTGTTTCATAATGCACCAGACAGTAGAAACTGGCAGAAAACAGCCGCAGCTGGAATCTGTCACGGGAACCGCCGAAGCGACACGTCTTCAATAAGGGCTGACACATGGCAGCTATTGAAGCGTGGAATCTGTCACGGGAACCGCCGAAGCGACACGTCCTCAATAAGCGCTGACACATGGCAGCTATTACAGCAATCGACTTTAGCCGACAATGTAGCCGCCGAGACATGCTCGGATCTGTCCGGCCGATCGGTTACCGCCAAATCAAATGTACATGGCTTCAGCGGATCAAACGCTTAAGAGCGTCGCACATCAAGTCCAGCCAAATGCTTCTGTTGGCTTGAAATTGCACCGGTGATGAGTCAGCGTTCTGTTGAAAAGAAATAATGTGCGAGCACGACATTTGTGCTCATCTTAACCGATCATAGAAGATAAAACAATGGTGATGAAAGCACAAACTTGAAATCGCGCGAAGAACAAATCCCAGCACTGGTTCATGGATCCGTTGTCTTTGCCGCTTATCCTGTTCATGGTTGCGGGTTGCTGGAGCATGTCCCAGCTGATTTTGGGCGCAAGAGAGACAACTACACTCGGAGCTGGTTACCAGTCATTCACAGGACACATAACAGAGATGAACAACCATTCACGCCGTCACTAAGTGGGACATGAACCCACCTTACCTGAATCAATATAAAGTGAATGCACCGCTACACTGTCAGTGAACTCTCACAATGAGGTTTTTGCTATCAAAGCCTGAAAATAAGTGCATCGCTGCAACCTTTCATATGTTTTAGTGAACGTGAGAAATGTCATCTCACGACATATTTTGTCAAGGTCAGATGATCCGCAAGTTGAAATTATACGGTCACGTTACAATTCACCAATATACGATATGATTGCAGATTTCATTCCTTGTTAAATTTCCTTTCCAATAAAACCGGAGATTTCAGGGTTCAGAGGAAATTTTAGCCAAAAATGTCAAAAATTTCAGCAGGCCGTAGCTCCCAAAGCCCTGCTTCAATTGGCCTAAAATTTGACATTTAGTGTTGTGCCCTCACTATCCACAAGTACACCGAGTTTCATTCAAATCAAAATCTACTTGGTTCAACCCAAGGAACGACCCAGTTTTTGAAGTCTTTGTCTCCACATGCCGTATGATGCAAATCTGCCGCGCCCCTGTTTGGCGACTGCTACTTTAAAGGATACCTGCTCAGTGTGCATGGCCACTGGCTGGTTCCGGTGCGAGTCCGGGCAATCGCCTCTGTCCTGTCATGCTGTAAGTAGCAGCTCAGGACCCGGCAAGTGGCGCATTTTAACCTAATGTGCTTTCGGAGAGGTTATGTACGGCTAATCTGCACTGATTCCGAGGCTACTAAAACACTGACCATATTTTCACCTTCCCGCTCTTCAGATTTTTTTTTTTCTTTATCTCGACTTAAAGCCAATTTCATCTAGCTTCTCCTTGTATTTTCACCTTCCCGCTCTTCAGATTTTTTTTTTTTCCTTTATCTCGACTTAAAGCCAATTTCTTCTAGCTTCTCCTTACATGCTAATCCCTTTGAAGTCAGACGATCTGCAGAGATGAGTCTGTTTAAGGGCTTTAGCGAAGGCTTTGGGCTCCCGAGGTTTTTTTTTTTTTTTTTTTCTTCCTGGAAAATACAAAGCCCTGTTCTGGCTGTGTGCACGGGCGCAGGCGGGCCTGGCGCTGCCTCTGAAACAGGCGCTGGCATGGGTCTCGGCCTCACGACAGCGAGGGGCTGTGCGGCCATTGTGCCAGGGAGTCACGCTCTGCCTCGCGTGCCCGCTGGGGGCATCGCTTGAATAATCTCAACAAGTTCTTTTTTTTTTTTCTTTTTTTTGGGGGGGCTTTTCACTGAGCTAACAGTTTCACACAATCTCTCTCTGTCTGACTGTCTGGAAAGATTGACTGCGGACGAGACAAAGGGACACTTCACTCAAAGTTGAGGCGGTTGGTGAGGTCGATGGACTCCAAAGTATGCACGGCTGGCTCATGTGCGCCGAGAATCATAAAATGCTCCATGAATGTCACTTTATGTTTGATTTGGATTCTCTGCGCCTCTTCTCTTGGTTTTTTTTTTTTAAAAGAATGACAAAACGCCATGGCAAAAATGTGTTTCTCAGCGCTACTCCAGATAGCATAGTTACATTAGTGCGACCAAAACTTGAGAGATGTCCTGGCCAAAGGTAATCTAGGTCATGAAAACAAACAAAATTAAAACAAAAACTGAAAAAAACACTTTCCTTCATGAAATAAAATAGCTATTAAAACTCATTCAGGACCAGCCAATTCTAGACCAAGTCTGAAAAGACGTTTAAAAACGTCTTTGGGAGTGAATGAGTTAAAAAAATAAATAAAAATCCTTGCGTTTATAAGCCTAACTGAAACTAACGCTCATGACCGTGAAAACAGTTTCCATTTTCGTCGATTCATGTCATATATGAGCATTCAGGTGTTATTTTACGTACAATGCTTTATTTCGGCATTGATGTAAAACTGCACATAAGACGGAAGGTCAAATCTTCAGCCTGAAAGCTAATTTCTCTTGGTGCAAGCGCTTTCCTTTTTTCAAGACGATGTGGAATTTATTGCACTTTTTTTGCAGCATCATTCCACAGCTTGCCACTGTTATGTCACTGGAATTCTGATAAGCGAAGGCCTGCTGGCTAATACACGTCCGCTGAAGGTATCATGCTCTCTTAGCCTCGATGATAACAGCCTGCGTTGGATCATTAGTTCCTATGCAATGACCCTTTTTTGCTGGCGGGTTTTGGTGGTGATCATAAAATACTTTACCACCTTAAAATTCGACTGTACTGCTTTTGCGTCCGTATTATCTGGCCTTGGTAGCGGTGCTGTATGCCCTTCTTCACCGTGTTTCTGTCTCCACTCAGGCGACAGGGAGACGACAGTGTCTTTGGAGGGTCGGGGGGACATGGGCGATGTGTTGGACTCTGTCCGCGCCGCCATTCACGAGCGGGACGCCGACGCCTCCAACGGAACGCAGCCCAGGAACCTGCGCAGACGCAAGCGCTTCCTTTCCTACCCGCGCTACGTCGAGCTGATGGTGACGGCCGATGCCAAGATGGCACGTCACCACGGACGCAATCTGGAGCACTACATCCTCACAATCATGTCAGTAGTAAGTAAAAATGTTTCTCAAAATTATTACATCAAATCTTCCCGGTTATCTTGGGAGCGGGGTTTGTTTGCGGGACTATTGTGGGGCTGTGAAAAGGGCTACGTCATTTTAAGAAGTTTGGGAAATCCTGTTCTACTCGTCAGCTGACCCGAAGCACCAAGCAGGCTTCGGGTTGTCGAGTTGTCGGAGCTCAGAGAGGTGAGGTGGACAGAGACCGTTTGTAGATTTCCAGACAAATAAAAGAATCTTAAAATGAACTCTAAAATGTCAGACATAGAGTTATATGCTCCCTCCTACGTGTTCCAGTTAGGAGGTGAGAAGCAGTATTTTGGACCACCTGGAAATGCTTGAGGAAGACTCCAAAGTGCAGTTCACACCAATTACTGTAATAATTTCGTATTTAGACAAGGCTTTGTCAGCCTCTTGTGTTATCTTTGGGCGTTTCAGAAAGAGCACGGAAAAATACGTGGATTGGTGATTTTTCATTCGTGGACCACAAATATACATTGTATGACAATATCGACATTTTGTCAGAATATTGGAGGAAGCCGAGGTCAACTCACTCAAGCACAGGAATGCAGAAATTCCCAATGTGACCCGAAAAACTGTGAGGCAGATGTTCGAACGACGAGTCCACCGCGCTGCCCCTTCCCCGTGGTTCATCGAGTTCATTTCATCAAACGGCCATTCCTGTTGACTCAGCACTTAACGTCGGTGCTTGACAAAGAAACAGGAGGCGAGCCGCTGATCAAGATGAGTGATGTTAAAATTGACTACTTAGGAGGTAGCTGGTCCCGGGTCAAAGCAAATGTCCCCCTCATTAACTTGAGTGAACGAGTAATGATTGTCAGTGTGACGTCTCAAAAAAAGGGTCCAGTCAGGTACAGTCGAGACTGTCAAGCAAACCGTTTGACATCCAAACATTCCTCCTGCCAGCGTTTACATGAGCGGACCGACAATGAAGACACATGCTCCCAGTGGAGTCATAAAACAAGCACCTCAGTAGGAAGAGCTGATTGGTGCGGATCCAGGAAGACTTAGCTGCTGGCGTCGGTATTTGATATTGAACTGCATGTCATTCTATAGCGTTTGCTAAATATCGAGGCTTTTATATGGAGATGGTTTCTAAATACTATGAGGCAAATATTTAGCTTTATTATTAGCTTTAGCTTTATTAATATTTAGTGTTTCTTTGGCTTTAACTGACACTTTGAAAAAACGGAGCAGTCTCAAATAGGTGGTGTGAAGAGACGGAGAATATATGTGACGTTTTTTTTTTTTTAATCTTCTTCAGTGGTGATTATTTTTTTGGGGTAAAATTTAGACTTTAGTGGTTTTTAATGCTATTGTTATATTAGGAAGCAGCAAACTTACATTTATATTAACAAAAAAAAACAACAACAGTATTTCTGATAATTTTTTGAGGGGTGGACGGGCAGGCGGTATGTCACACGTGTTGCTAAGCAGATTTCATCGAGCTCAAAGACAACTCTTCTAATTTTTTTGTTTGTTTGTTTGTTTTTTAAGCACACCAAATCATCTGAATCAAGGTTCCGTTCTATGTTCATGTGTGAGGGTGGGGGTGGTGGGGGTACACAGAGCAAGGTCCTTTGTTATACTTGGACGAAGAGCGAGCAAAGACAGGCCCAGGCCGTGTTTACGTCCCCCCCTCAGGGCTGAGACGAGCTAAATGTTTATAGTGTACTAATGAGTTCCTGTCAGGAGGCTGCGCACGGCCTCAGGAGACCGCTTGCCGACCGTGACAGGGGTGCACCGGTGGAGCGAGGGAAGTGGAGGGGAAAACGAGCGAGGGAATGTTTGGTCAGCGAGCTATGCTGAAGCTTTAAGTCGGCCGCTGTGTTCAAGGCGTCTGTTGGGGGTAATGAAATCTGCTTTTCAGGCCCTGGATATTATATGTCGGTCCGCGTCAAGTTGCCTCCAGTGAACTGGTTATTTGTGTTCTTCCCATTCCAAGCGCACAGCGGTGGCTCAGGTTTTTTGGAGGTTTGCATTTTTTTTTGTCTGTGCCTTGTCTTTGTTACAGGTAGCGGCGGTGTACAAGGACCCCAGCGTGGGAAACCTCATCAACATCCTGATTGTCAAGCTTATCGTCGTCCACAATGAACAGGTAGACCTTGACCTTCGCGCAGGTGTCCGGAGATGTGGGACACTGACCGCTTTGTTGTGTCAAAGCCTTTGGAGAGGCGAACAAGAGGCGCTATAGTGTGGCAGCCAGCCATCTGCACGGGAGGGAGATGACTCGGGGCAGGCACCTTTGGCGTTACTGCTTGGTGTGCTTTTCGAAAGTGATATTGGCATGGATGCCGCTGTTAGTGGGACCGGACGACGACGTTGCTGCGTCAATCAAATAACTTTAATAAGACTGGTCAACACACATCATAATGCAAAGAAGGTTTCAACAGTTTTGGGGTATTTTGATGTTGCTTGAATTGTCTTTTATTGAAGAGATGTCTTTGAAAGGAAATGGCACGTTTAGAGGACTGACAAGTCCATTCCAAAATCTGGAAAATGACAACAAAAAACTCTTGGCATCATACCCTCTCGAACTGAGCCGTCAATCCATCCATCCATTTTCTGATCCGCTTATCCCCACAAGGGTCACGGGGCGTGCTGGAGCCTATCCCAGCCGTCTCCGGGCAGTAGGCAGGGGACACCCTGAACCGGTTGCCAGCCAATCACAGGGCACACACAGACGAACAACCATCAGCGCTCACACTCACACCAATTAGAGTGTTCCATTAACCTGCCACGCATGTTTTTGGAATGTGGGAGGAAACTGGATTACCCGGAGAAAACCCACGCAGGCACGAGTGGGTGAACATGCGAACTCCACACAGGAAGGCCGGAGCTGGAATCGAACCCTGCACCTCTGCACTGTGAGGCCGACGCGCTAACCAGTCGACCACCGGGCCTCTTTCAAATCAAACCGCCCTTGAATCGTTCTACATCTATCGAAAACCATATCGAATCGTCTTTTGTGGGGAGACGAGCACCCCTGATATGCGTCCAGTTTTCTTTCATTTTTGACATGACATATCATATATACGCGAAAGACGGCAATCGCTATCGCAAAGAGTGTAAACAGTGGCAGTCTTCCTCGAGATTAGCGTGGATGTTTCCATCGCAGCCCCGAAGGCTATTTCACGGCCTCTCCCTCCAAAACAGGACGGCCCCACCGTGAGCTTCAACGCCGCCACCACTTTGCACAACTTCTGCACCTGGCAGCAGAAGCAAAACGTCAAGGACGACAGCCACCCCTCTCACCATGACACCGCCCTCCTCATCACCAGGTACACTTGCCACCGGCGTTCGCTCATTTTCCTCCAAAAGATATATAGATTTATTTATATGTCTTTTTTTTTCTCCCTCAGGGAGGATATATGCCGCGCAAAAGACAAGTGTGACACTCTCGGTAAGGCTTTTCCCTTTTTTTTTTTCCTTTTTTTTCCCCCTTCCTCAAAATTAACTTTCCACTCCAAGCTCATAAAACTGTGCTTTAATGCGTTTATGACAAGATGGCTAATAACATTGTTGCGAAGGGGGCAGAGCGGCACAAAGCGGCGTTAATCCCTCTTCACTAATGTTTTAATAGTTTCATCAATCATAAGCAGCACATGTTCATCCCCAGATAAATGCGTGTCGTACATGGCCTATGCGTGTGTTTCGCAGGCCTCGCAGAACTGGGGACCATGTGCGACCAGTACCGCAGCTGTTCTATCAGCGAGGAAAACGGAATCAGCGCCTCCTTCACCATCGCTCACGAGCTGGGTCATGTGTGAGTTGCAAATGCACGCGCGCAAACACGCTCGCGTACCACGTCGGCGCTCGCAGCGCCAACAAAAGCGTTCTTATCAAGCGCGGGCAGACACGCAGGTGCAAAACATAATGCGAAGAAAGAGCTTGACTTTTAATTACGTGCCCGCAGCTTTGGGGAGTGAACCCTTTGAGTGACACAAAACTCTTGTGAAATTCTCTAAAAAAAAATAATCATAAAAAAATACAAAGCGCTCAACAATACGTGACTGCAGTGAGTAATTCATAACTGGAACATTTTTTATTTGTTCATCCCTGTTGTTTGATTTGATGACAGATTTCCGGTCTCTAACCATTGACTCATTCAAAGATTGACCCGTGCCCGAGCTCCTCTTCAATGCGATAGATAGGACCAAGGTGGGGCGCAACGTTTCAGTGCGCTGAGATGATTTACGTCGCATCCTGGCTCAATCTCTGCGCACACATCACTTTCGGGGTGATGTAATCAGGGCTAATTTGCATAAGACGGCACTGCCTCCTGCAAAAAGGGTAACCTCACCAATGCGAGAAAAAGACTTTTGGTTGTTAGTTATGTTCTGTAGGTCGGAATGATTCGTTGCATTGTGATACGCTGAAACACAATTTCCTTCTGGCAAGTTGCATGTTAAATTGTAATTGCATTTGGGTTATTTTCACAACATTTTCAGCCTTAGAGTATTTCAACGATTAAGACACAAACCACGGAAGGAACTCATTCTATTTTACATTTATTAATTATCCGGTCAATTATTCCAACGCTGAAGGAGTTTTCCAACTGCTGACTGTTGTCAGATGTGTGAAATGGAAAAAGTACTTTCGTGGATCATCTGTATCCAAAAGCCCAGGTGGAAACCATGGACACATTTATCAAGTTAGGCTAAGCCGCTTGTCAGTTTGGAGTTCTCACAGTTTCCAAGAGTCCCGATTGGGAAGAATGGGGCGGGGCTCTCAGGAATCTGCAGCCATATCTGTCTGCACATCTTTTTATGCGAAAGTTTCAGCAGCTGTCGGGGTCATTTGACGTGATGCAGTTGGCGCGGTCCTCTCGGCGTGTTCAGTCGTCACGTTCACAGGCGAGACTGTTTAGCGGGCCTGGGAAAGCCAGTGTCAGGTAGTGGGAGCCACTCAACGGCATTGCATCGGATTAAGGACCCAATTTGCACTAATGGATTGGAGGCCATTCTCAAATGGCTCAAAGGGCCCCCCTAGCGCTGACAGCCAATCTTAATCGGGTTTATGGTTAAACGGCTTGCCTCGTAAATGGACAAAAATGGACAAAAGGCAATCCATTATTTGACATCAGGCCACATTGGATCGATCGGTATCCAACGGATGTACTGAATTGTCAATTGTGTCCAAGGGTTAAACTGCAAAACTGCTGTTCAACTCTAAAAATATTTAGTCGTTCGAGCTCTGGCGTGTAGACATAACACAAAGTGCAAAAAAAAAAAAACCTCGCCCCATTGCCACTACATCGAGCAATGAAGTTTGCACCACCTATCCGAAGCTAGCGCTAATCTATGTTTACAGCAAAACTCGATTCCTTTCCATTTTGGCTTTGACGTGATAGCAGGTGCGTGTTGTCTGGTTGTTTCTGCGCGATTGGGCTGCGGATCTTCCTAATTTGTGTCAAAATGTCATCATGTCTCATTTAATTCAAACTGTCAGAGTGGCGCACCCACTGGAAGCGTGTTCATCAACTCGCAGACATTCCAGGTAGCCTCAGTGTGGGTATTTCAGACGCATGGGCATGCCTCCAACTCGATTCCTGCTGTGCCGCTGCCGATTGATTCCTCTTACTGATGCGTCTCCCCGAGGGGCCACAAAATGGACTGATTTACAGCCTCATTACACTGCAGCCTGTTATCTCTTCAAGGCCTTCAAGACTGCATGCTTATTCGAGCTGTAAATCCACGTCGAGTAAATCGACGTCGACACACCCGCACATCGGGAAATCACAACAAGTACTGCACGCGAACCTCAGCGATGGTGTAAATCTTGTCAGAATCAGCCAAAAGAATAATTTATGTGTGTACAACCTAATTCGGTGGCAAAGGCTCAATAGTTTCCCGGGTTTTAGGCCAACTTTTCAAGGGGGCCAGAGGCGTCCTGCCAACCGTGCTTGAGGTTTGTGTGCTAGCGCGTGTGTGTGTGTGTGTGTGTGTGTGTGTGTGTGTGTGTGTGTGCGTAGTGACATTGCAGCCAGAGCTGACCCACATCCTGTTGTAAACATCTCAGACATCATACAGCTGCGCGGGGCTGCTGTGTGTAAATACGCACGCGCACATGTGCATGCAAGAAGTAGTGCAACCGGTCCGGATTCTGCACATCATCAAGAAAATAAGACTTTATGAGCTTGCCAATAGCAGACGAGCAGGATGAACTCATTAATTTGCAGATGCACGGCGGCGCCCTTCATTTTATATACATCAGCTCTGGTTTTGTGTTTATGAGAAGCCAAGGGAACGTATGCTATCTTTTTTTTTTTCGACTCTGTCATTAGAGGCATATGTTTTATTTTATATGTCAAAAGACTCTGTGCCAAAAAATCTTGCTCACTTTGCGCCAGCAAGACCAATAACGTATAAATCTGAATGGATTAGCTGAGATTAGTGGATCAACCGAAAAGAAACACCAGATGATTTGGTTATTATGCGCAATGATATGTATGGTTGCTTTCTAAATCCATTTAATCTGCATAGTTTCAATTACATTTGATTGTAAATATTTTATCTTATGTTTATTGAACTACTTGGCATAAAAATAAACTTACTTTACAGGCAAATAGTGGCTAATGCTAGAAGCCGACCTTGGCAGTCAAACACGCTGCCCAGACTTCATGCTCATAAACTGCTCATTTGATAACAAGCGAAGACACAAAAAGCAGCTGGCATGTTGGCTCCTCTCTAGTTAGCGGCGAAGGCGAGCCGCTAATGCATTAGCCCTCAACCCCGCTGCCTGTACTTCACAAACCGCTCAACTGTTAGTTACAATACCCAAAACAACTTGTTCGTCGAATGCTAAAGGTCATTGCATTTGGAAATACGCTCCGAGCACGCACTGATTCAATCCGACGGCTTGCAAACTCAGAATGCGATTGAAATTGTTGTTCTGTTATTTGGAGTGCAGCAAAAACGGAGAGCTGGTGCGCGCTCTCGATGCTCCAACTGGGTACATGGTGCAAGTCCAGATGGAAACAGTTCAAGCTTTAGCTGCTGATTGGTTTAGAACATAGGCTGTGTTTGGAAATTAACAGGAGGGGAGCGCGCTCTGCCTCTCCGAGTTTTGTACGGGTGTCAGAGTCATTTCCTGAATGTGTTCCAAGTTGTTTTTTGCGACTCTCTGCCTGTACTTTAGATTTACAAACTGCTCATACAAAAAGCAGATTGTTTGTCGAGTGCTAGCGAGTGAGCGCATAAATGCTAGTGGTCGGTGATAGCAGTTGCACTGGCAGGACAACTGAGAAACTACTCAATTGATAACCAGTAATGAAGCGAAAAAACAAAAAACAAACAACAACAACAAAAAAAAACCAAAGCCAGTCAACTACAAGCCACGAGTCGCTATTGATAGTGGCAAATGTTGACAGGCGCTACCACTACCTGGACTTCAAACTCACAAACTGCTCATTGAATAACACGTGGTGAAAAAAAAATGGTTAGCCAGAGGCTAATGCTAACAGCTGTTAGTAAGCACCTGTCTGACTTCAAACTCACCAACTGCGCATTTAATAAGACGTCACAATACAAACTAAAACAACCAGCTAGTCGACAGCAAGTTAGTTAGTGGCTATTTCTAGTTGCAACCGTTACAACAGTCGATCAAGACCACTGTCTGGACTTCAAACTGAGTCTGGTCCTTTTACTTGCTTCTCCCAATATTTTGAACACAACATCAACATACACAAAATCCGTAACTGTCTGGGGATTCGATAAAATGGATGATACTAATTTCATCCAAACAACACACGTGAATCCATCTTGTATTGTCTTTATTAATGTGTGCTCTGTTTGCGTGTCCTCCTTTCCCCTCTGAGTTAAGCTGTTTGAGAATGTGAGACGGCGAACTTTACCCTTTGAGGGGTGAGCTGGAGGGTTTTCACCAGCCAGGTGATGGAGGTTATTGGACACTTTTGAGCAGTGTCGTCAACGTATTCCCTGCACTACTTACGGTCCACTTTAAATCCTGTATTTTACAGTTACTGGCATTTATGTACAAAGAATTTACTTACTAGTTGTTGTTTTTTGTTGTTGTTATTTTTTTTTATTTTTTTTTTTAACAAAACTACAAACTAGATCATTTGGTAAGGAAGGTGTTGCAGGATTCTGTGACAATAAACTGCGGTAGATTCCCATGTTTTGGCGTGTGTGTGTGTGTGTGTGTGTGTGTGTGTGTGTGTGTGTGTGTGTGTGTGTGTGTGTGTGTGGCACGACTTGTGTGTTCGTTGGAAACGGGCTGAACGTGAATTTTGTGACGCTTATCCTCCCGGCCCGCGACTCAGCCACTAATCGGCTGATAATCACTTGTGTGTTCTACACAGCTCTATGGCCAGCGTCACAGCACCGGATTGTGGATCAACTTTCATTCCATCAGTGTAAAACGTCCAAACATAATGCAAAAGAAGGCTAACTTTTACTCATGAGTAATATACAGGGCAGCTTACCAGTCAGTGGCAAGTGAGAAACTAGCCTAGTGCTTCATCTTGTCGTTAGCATTGCAAACATTCTTTTACTATCTGTTCATGACCCACCCAAAATGGTTCAGCGACCCGCCAGTTGAGAATCCCTGCTCTACTTCAATGTTCCCAATCCTCTGCTTTTTCTGTGTCTCTTTCTAACAGATTCAACATGCCTCATGACGATAACCCCAAATGTCGGGAGGCCGGCATGAAGCACCAGTATCATGTCATGGCTCCCACTCTCAACCATGACACCAACCCCTGGTCGTGGTCCAAGTGCAGCCGCAAGTACATCACAGAGTTCCTTGAGTATGTACACGATAATCTTAGCAGTCTACCCGATTGCCCGGACTTTACACTCACAAACTGTTCATTTGATAACAAGTGATGATGCAAAGAGATAACAGCTAGCTAATAAACATCTCACTCATTAGCAGCTACAACTGGCTCATTAGCAGCTAACACTAGTAGCGGACGCTCCTGCCTGCACTCCAAACTTACTAACTGCTCATTTAATAACAGGAGTTGAGGCAAATAAGCAAGCTAGCTAATGAACTGCCCGATGTTTAGAGACTACCACTAGATCATTAGCAACAGTAGTTGTTGAGCCCATAGCCTGAACTTCAAACTCACAAACTATTCATTCATGTAAAAATGCAAACGGCAACTCACTTGTTGACCAATGGATACTTAGTCGCTAAGCCACTAATGTTAATAGAAATCCTATCTGGAATTCAAACTCACAAACGGCTCATTTGATTAGTGAATATGCTACAGACAGCTCAACCACTAGCTCATCAATGGCTAATGCTAGTATTTGACCCCAATAATCTTGTTTACTAAAATGTTTTACGACTACTATGAGGCCTCGCTACTATCCATGGCATTAGCAGGCTTTGCTAATGAGGATAGCGATTATAATTGTAAATACACACACTGCATATATAAACATATTTCTCCATGGACATCATTACCCAAGAGGGCTCAATTGTACAAATATTCACAAAGGACTGCCTTGTTGACCAAATGAACCTTGCGAAGGCGTTTTTCGGCAAGTGCTCATTTGCAGTTATAAGGTTGAGCATCCCATTTTGGTTGCAGTTTGATGAGATGGAACATTCCAGCATAGATTAGAATCCTTCATGAATCTCTTGTGTTTTGAGGATTTCTGTGCAGCACCGACGACAATGTGCGCCTGTGAAATGGTCAGATTACGCGCTTGTGTAGCGACGGCTTGAGTGTGTGAGCTGCATTGGTGGGAAATACCCTTGAGAGCGCTTTTTGAAGTCGCTCTCAAGCTAACAATGATGAGTATTGATTCAGACTTCTCCCGTGGGTCCACCTGGTTTGAGTATGTCCATGTTTTGGCTGCACATTCTCATCCCAATGTCGTGCCGGAGCACCCCCCCCACCCCCAAAAGACCACTCAAACGTCCTCTTTTTGACATCACTTGCTGGAGGGAACCCCCTCCCCGCCACCGCCCCCTGCAATGTCATTTAGAGTCCAACCAGACATAAAGAAACCATTCATTCCATTCCTGGCTGGGTGCCGAATGATTCAATCCAATTCTGGATATAAAAGTCTGAAAAAGACCACAATCATGAATATTTTTTTTTTTAATTATTATTATGAATACATTTACTCATAAAGCACTTTTCATTTTGTCAAAATCTCAAAGTGCAACAAAGCATGCTAAAAATCAAAAGGTATATATATAATAAATTATATATATATATATATATATATATATTAGTTATATACTCTTATTCACGCGGTACATTTTAAGTCATCTATAAGCTTCCACGGATATTCATTCGCATTGCAGTGCTATAGCCAATTCTGCATTCTGTAGAACTTTCTTCTCCGTCTGTGACATGCACGCATTCGCCATCTCCAAAAGTCATGTGATTGCGATCAACCTTTCGTGACTCCCAACGTCTGCCAGGTGTGGTGGACAATAAGAACAGACTGACTCGAATGGAAAAAAAAAATGGTATTTTGAAATTAAGAAGTGACCACATGAATGTCTCTCTCTCTCTCTCTCTCTCTCTCTCGGCCGAATATTAATTCAGTTTGAGAGCTGCTGAGAGATTTGATAATAAGTAACGATTTTATTGAAGTTTCACAATTTGTGGGTAATTGGGACTCACTCCACAGCAGATGCTCAACCCTTTGAGTCTAAACTGCAAAGGAATGCCCCGTACGCAAATGCCACCACTGGCTAATTTAAGCAACCAGAACGACTTGCTCGCAGACACGAATTTCAGAAATAGGCAGATAACAAAACATTTCCTGTTTAAATTTCACATTTGACGTATAGGCACAGACACTTATAGACACGTATAGACACAAACCTCACAGACAGAGTCCTAGCTCTCCGTAGACAAGCCATTAAAAAATAAATAAATGCGCGCACAGATTTTACATGTTGTCTTTAGTTTGCGTTTCAATGTCGTCTTTCAAGTCTTTTTTTTTTTTGGGCTACAATTGTCCAAACTGCAGCCTTTTTGCCAGTGGCGGAAATGAAAGGCGACCGACACAAAGTGATGCTCGCTGAGGATAATCCCGTATAATCGCCGGTCTGTCACTGCAGTCTTTGCTTTGTGCTCACAGGTGTTGCAGCTTCTCCATCCACGATGAGGTTTTGTCGTGTCAGACATGTTGCATAATAACACGCTTCCTCCTCGTCGTTTCCTTTTTTTTTTGACTTCTCCACAAAAAAGCGTAGATTCTGGCAGCCTAACGTGTTTGACTTTGGCCTTTTCACAAGTGCCAAGTGATGATTTTGTACGTGGCGGCGCGCATCCACGCCAGCTGTGTTTGCACATTGGTGGTTTCAGGGAGGGGTTCATACAGGGAGCAGTCTGTCATTACGCTCTAATCCAGGCACGGTTGAGGATTGAGGCAATTTAATCGAGGTGCTTTACGAGTCCAAACTCTCTTGTTTGCCTTCGGCGCAGAAAATAACGCCCAATAAAAGGTATTGCAGATCCTTTTCCGTCCAATCTGATGTTGTACACGCTTTGTTGCGCTTGACTCCGTCTCCACCCATGCTCATGTCTACTCGCCTAATTTGCGCTTCATTCACTTGACTGGTGTTTTGATTTAACACAGCACCGGCTATGGGGAGTGCCTTTTGGACGAGCCCGTAAGCAGGACGTATGAGCTGCCCACCCTCCTCCCTGGGCAAATCTACAACGCCAACAGACAGTGTGAACTCATGTTTGGACCCGGTTCCCAAATTTGCCCTTACATGGTAAGTGGGCTTGTAGTGAAAAACAAGTTTGGGGGGGTTCCTCAGGGATTTGAAAAATATGTTGATTTTTGTTGTTTTTATTTGAGTTTTTTAGATATTTATTTTAATAATTTTAAGTGAGTGTTATCAAATATTTAACTTTTTTTTAAAAATCGAAAAATATTTTCATGAAATTGTAGTTTGTGGAATATTTAATTTTATTTTAATTGATTGGAATGGTATACTGTATTTAATTTCATTTTAATAGCTTGTTTTTCAAAATATTTAGTTTGAGATGACATTCTGTAAAATTTGTTTTTGTGTTACTTTTTTATTTTATCAATGCAATAATTTATTTTTATCTCACTTGAACAATCAGATATACAACCATTATTTTGATTTATATTTAAAAAATACATTGCTCTAATTTAATACTTAAAAAATATTTTTTTTCCAATATAGTAAGGTGTAATATTCATAAGTACACTGCTGATTTAATTCATTCATTCATTCATTCATTTTCCGATCCGCTTATCGTCACAAGGGTCGCGGGGGGTGCTGGAGCCTTTCCCAGCTGTCTTCGGGCAGTTGGCAGGGTAAACCCTGAATTCGTTGCCGGCCAAACGCAGGGCACACAGAGGCGAACGACCATCCGCGCTCACACTCACACCTAGGAACAATTTAGAGTGGTCAATCAGCCTGCCATGCATGTTTTTGGAATGTGGGAGGAAACCGGAGTACCTGGAGAAAACCCACGGCAAACACGGGGAGAACATGCAAACTCCACACAGGCAGGCCGGAGCCAGAATCGAACCCTGCACCTCTGCACTCTAAGGCCGACCTGCAAACAAGTCGAGCATGGTGCCGCCACTGCACTTTCATTTCATTTTAATTGGGTTTTTAATGAAATATCATTAGTTACCCCCTACTATTTGTGGCACCGTTTCTAATTAAAAGTCGGAATTTTCGACATAAGTGCATCTCAGGGCAACGAGGGGCTACTTCTAATCCCAAGACATGAAAGGAAAATATTTTAAAGGCACAGCTTGCAACTGCTGTCGGTGATTTTTAATTTTCAAAACTCCAATCATGGCTGAAATGCTTCTCGGGTTGTGTTGGAAACCTGGCAATTTACAGATGATTCATTGCTTCTAAGGTTTTTTTTTTTTGTAATTTACCCAGAAACAATGTAAAAGGCTGTGGTGTACAAGTGCAGAGGGAGACCATAAGGGATGCCGTACACAACACATGCCGCTGGCTGACGGGACTGAATGTGGACATGGAATGGTGAGTGCGTTTTAAAAAAAACAAACAAAAAAAACGTTTTTGAATGACAGTTTGATTTGGGTTTCATTTATTTATCTATTTTTTGCACCCATGTCTGAGTCATTTGTTTTAAGTGTCTGCTGGTAACGGGTCCGACTCCTTGGCAATGCATTACAAAGAAGAAAAAAAAGAGTGCATTAAAATTGTCATAATTGTCTTCATTTATTTATTTATTTTGAATCATAAATTCTCGAGCCAGCTGCCAAAACATTTTGGATGATTGTGTGCTTCTGAATTTGTGAAGAAGAAGGCCAGCAAATGGAGCTTCATTGCCCCGCCGCCCCCGGCTAATATACGCATAAACCCATCTCATAATTGCTTGAAAGTGTCTCTGGATATTCACCCAGTCTGGCTATCTCATGTCATGGGAGGAGACACACGGCGCGGGTGGCCAATAGTCATCCCTCGCTGTACATAACGCCGAGCAAGAACGACAGGGAACTGCTCACTCACAGACACATTTTTAGAACCAGAACGATCGTGAAAGATTGACTCGGTTGTTTAATTCCACACGTAATTGGTCGTCATATAGCCCACAGACCCCGCTATTTGTAGAGAAGCCAGTCAAATGTTGCTTTTCCAAACGAGGGAAAAACGGCCCATTTTATCTGCATGAAGGATTCTATGTAAACCAGTCAGGTGACCAGCGCTTTTCTTTTGGCCTCCATGTTGTCCGGGAGGCCCCAACCCCCATTAGCCTTCATGTTCTCTTCACCCTGGGGTGCTATGCTAATTAGGGCTGAGACGGCGGGTAGGTTGCTGAGGTTACGTGCAAAGAAAAAAAAAAAGGAGGCCGAGGAGGGCAGGTTGCAGAAAATGAAAGAAAACTCGGAAGAAGAAAAAAAAGGCAAGGGTGAGGTAAAGACGCCGCGCCTTTGAAAGAGGACGCGGCCAGGCCGTTCACAGTTGAGTCACCTTGTGGTGAACCCGTGACCCCCAAGCCCTCTTGATGCGGCGGCTGAGCGGGTCAGCGGTCAGGGCCGTAACAGAGCTTGCCAGCAGCCCTCGCAAAGGGCGCTCCCCTCCTGCGGGACGAGAGCCAGGAGGAGGCGCGAGAAGAGGGAGTTTGGTGTTGAGGACGTGTTTGAGCGAGCGAGGAAAGCCTTCTCTTCCCTCCTTCACCCTTCTGTCCTCTCGAAGACGACGTGTCCTATCCGCCATTCTTTCTTCTTCTTCTTCTTTGTCTTCAATGCCCCACAATCTTCCACTTGAGGTTAAGCGTTGATGGCTAACATCTTCATCCAACTACAACAACCGCACTAAAGAGTAATGGTCCTGTGGTTGCGCCGCTCTCACTCTGCACAGACGCATTGAAGAGACTTTTCATTAAACCTCCTTCACCTCACTTGCACCCGACCCAGTCCAATGGTTGATGAAGCTTCATCGGAACTGTCTAGACATTGATTAGCTTGGAACCGTGTGACATTTAGCCCAATCGCCCTCACCCGCAACATACTGTTCCACGCTCGTAACCTCGGGCCGGAGAAAAAAACTGCAAAGAACTTAGTTCCTTCCCTGCTGCCCTCCAACTCTGAAAACAGCTGACAGGAGTAACAGTTGTGATGCTATGTTCCCCCCACAATCCTATTTTGCTCAACGTGTACTGTTGCAATATTACAACCCGATGGAATGCCTTTATTTTGGATTGCCCTGCCTCCATTGTATACCGTTTCCATCGAGATGTACCCAAAATTCTTGGCAGTAGAGTTCATTTCTGCCATGATCAGAATCAGAAACAGATTTATTGGCCATGGATGCAAGAAACACACAAGGAATTTACTTCCCAGTTACAACGCATTCAAAGCAACATAGACAACACAGCAATCACCAACAGAGAGAGACAGGATGAATAAAGTTTATTCTACTCTTTTATTTATCTTTTAATCTCAGATATAATGTTTTTTTTTCCTCATACTATGTTGGCATCCATGTCGACGGCAAATAATTTGTTTGCAGAGCGGAAACATGTCTCCGTCCTCTTCAACTCATTTTAACAGCGAATTTTCCTGCAGACGTAACTAAAGCTATTGGCTGAAAAATGCCCATTTGTATTCATCATTTTCAGGCATTTCCGAATGTGATTTTACAAACACAAAACATCCAAACTGATTCGTAGTATCGGTAACTCATGATTTAATATTCAAAATTATTTTGGCAATGACTTTGCCAGATTCATAAGTCGCGAATTTTCCTTCCAAGGTTTCTGATGTGATCCGCTGCCTGCAAGTGGCAGATGTGTGCTTCTCCGCTCCTTGTTCGCTCATCTTCAGAGAATTTCCACACGTGGCAAGGATGAGCCGATTATCGTTTGACCGTCAAAGGTCACTGTGACTTCACGTTGTTGGCCAGGATTCAAGAATTCATCTGCTCATTATGACACCGTATCACATGTGACTGTCAAGGGGGCGGGGGCAAAGGGGATGGAGGGGGAGGAGACAATAGCGAGATGACATTTTGAAAGGTCAAATGTAGATGATGTGATTAAAAGTCTTTTAAGGCGGTCTCTGCATGACTGAGACTTCACAAATTTTAGTGTATAGTTTATTTTAGGCGTCTCCAACATTGACCGTCTGTCAAGGTATCATAAAATTTGGCAAATTGAACAAAACTGGCCAGAAATGACACTCATATGCACGCTGTATGTCTTTTGGAAACAAGGGAGTGTTTACATTTCCTTTCTTTGTCTTGCAACAAGAAGTCGTGAGGTTCAGGTCTAAGGCCGCGTGGGGACATGGGCCATAGCTTTGACTCAGAGGCGTGTGTGTGTGTGTGTGTGTGTGTGTGTGTGTGTGTGTGTGTGTG